GGGAGGCGGAGGCGCGGCGGCGGCACATATGATTTATCATTATTATTTTTTTTATTGATGGACCATTTGTGTGACAACTGAAAACTTGAGTGACTAATACTGTAAGAAAATAAAGTCCGTGATTACTAAAAAATTAAGTGATCTTTGATCTAATTAACCCACTAAAATTCTAATATTTTTGAATAATTAATGTCCCTTTGCGTGCAACGCACACAACTTATTCCTTGATTTCCGGAATAAAATTCACGTCCATTTAAAACTTTGCGCTATTTTAATTTTCCACTATATATTTTTAAAATAATTAAATTATTAAATAAAGAGAGCCGTCAATTTATTATTAATTTACATCTAAATAAAGAGACATTGGTAGAAGTTTCCTAAATAATATGAATTGACCATAACTAGAACCCACATGGAACGTGTGGCACAGGCTACCAGAAAAGAATGGGAACCAACCCAAATCATTGACCTCTCTCTTGTGGCCGTCTTATCTCAGAAAAGAATGGGAACCAACCCAAATGTTGACTTGTAAAAATAAGTAATAAATCAAAATTACGAATCGATACACGAGATATGAAAGAAACTCGAGTTATTTCTAATTATCTCTCCTGCTCTAGTTAGATCAATGATCATAGTTATAATGGTTAACTCTTACTTGTACTCTACAGAGCGTAATCTATACTTTCCGACTCTATTTTCTAGAATTATCTGATGTAAGATTTGTCATGCCTTGCACCTGTGATCATTTTACCAAATGATTTTGCCATAACACTAATTACTTCTTGAGAGCATTGCTATGTAGTATTGATAAATTATTGGGACCTATGTCTCTACTTTTAAATTGATATAATGAATTAATGATACATAAATATCATCTAAAATGGTGCTTAGCATCAATGGTGATAAATAACGTCACTTTCAGAAAACGTATAGAAAAAGCATTTCAAGAATCAATTCAATTTTATCTCATCTACAAAATATGGCTAAAATTGTATGGTAGCAAGATTTGAAGTTATGTCTACTACAAGGATTGAGTATTACAAGAAATGTTGATGACAAAAGAATTTGTTGATTTAAAGGGTAAATCATTTGAAACTTTTGGTTTGAATTTTGATGAGTTGTAGCTTTGAATAATTCATGTAAGAATAACTTGATAAAAAATATGTTGTCATCGTTGACTTGGCATTTTTTTATATGCTTAAGATTGAAGAAGCACAAAAAGCCACTAGAAGGTTAATTTTATATTTTTACTCAATTTTCTTTTTATTCTTTCACATTATAATAGGTTGGTATTGAAAATAGAGAGGATTAATATTTATAATAAAATTCATTTGCTCTCTTTTGCCACTAAAATAGTAAATGGTAAAGGAGAAAATAATTATACAATGTAAAATTGTTTAAATAATTCACATTCTAGATTATTTATCTTAGTTAAGCAATGACGTTTTGCCTTGCTTCATATTTTCTCACTTACTGCAACTTTTAGCTCGTGATATTCTTTTATTTAGTATAATCGAAATAAAACTTTCTGATACACGATATATTTCAAAACTCTTATAATATGGAGTTCTCAAGTTTTGGTTAATTTCATCATGAACTTTCTAAAATGTTTCAAATTTATATAACGATTTCAAAAATATCGCTAGGATAGAAAATTAATGTAAAATTATAGGTGTCGGTGTTAAATACCACATGGGACAAATATATGTTATTTCATACCCCATGCAAGAAATTACCGTGTTTTCAAAAAAATATTCGTGTTTATTATAAACTACTTACATTTTGGGGTAATATTAAACTTGATTAGTTTTTCATGTAAAACAATAATTCGATTTTATTATGAAAACACGATATTGTGCCACGTGACATAAAGAATAATGTCATTCATTCGGCACTTAATTAAGTTTTGGCATATATCATGCTATGTAATTATATAATACATTAGATATTATAGAACCTTCTTATTTGGTCTATAATGAAGAAATCTAATTTACTATATGTAAATTTAACCATGGTTGAACCCCATAATTTTGGATTCTTGACCTTTCTTTGGTTTTTAATTTGGGATCTTGTAACATGTTTATTCCCAAGAAAGAAAGAAAGAAAAGTAAAACATGGAATACTCTCAAATGTATGACCAAAAAAAGAAATAAATTTTTAAACCTCATAACTTTGACTTTTGACCAATGAATTATCCTAGAAGGTCAGAAAATTCACATATTATTATTTTTTTATTAAAAAACATAAAAAGAATCCTTAAAATTCGCAAAGACAAATAAAAATGTATTCCACATTGGACTGCTCAAACAACAATTTTGTCATGTGCCAAGATTGTTCTCGTAGCCGTTCTTGACCGTGAGAGATATTGCTGAATTTGGGGTCCACTCAACCTTTGACCTTCTAGACCCCGCGCCCTCTTCAGCCCTTCAAAAGCAAAGCCCTCGAACTCAACATTTCCAACTCAATCCCCTGAAAGTGTTCATTTGAATCCATTTCCCTTTTCCATCCCCAAAAATTGAAGCTTTCTTGAAATTAATTGAAGGGTTTCAAGATTCTTCCCTTTATAATTTCTTCAAGGTATTGATTTCTTGTTCACAAGATTCTTTCTTCGGTTCCAGGTATTAAAAATTCTCGAGTTTTTTTGCCTATCCTCCACTTTGCTTCTGTCTTGAATTGAAGCGAAAATCTTAGGTTCAAGTTTTTTGATAATCTACAATATTGTCAAAAAATGCCACCGTTTGAAGGATCAAATCCCTTTTCTTATGGGTTTAATCGAGAATCAAATTCAAGCATAGTTACAATTGATGTGGGTGGTCAGCTTTTCCAAACCACCAAACAGACCCTTTCTTTAGCTGGCTCCAAGTCTTTGATCTCCCAAATTTCAAATTCTAATCAAAATATTCCATTTATTGATAGAGATCCTGAAATTTTTTCAGTTTTACTTTCCCTTTTAAGAACTGGAAATCTTCCCTCAAAAGCCAAAGCATTTGATATTCAAGACCTGATTTTTGAATCCCAATTTTATGGTATTGAAAACCTCCTTGTAGATTCACAATCAAACCCTTCTCAGTTTGATGCATTTAACCTCGAAAAATCGTTGGTTTTGCCTTTGAGTGGCCGGGATTCGCCCTCTGCTATCTCCACAACTCAGTATGGATCACTTCATGTTGCTCATGGGAGTAAAATCTCCTCCTTTGATTGGGCATTACAGAGGAAATCCACAATATTGACTCAATTCGCTGCCATTGATTCATTACTAGCATTGTCCCCAAAAACTGCTGCAACTGGTGCCACGGACTTTTCGGGGTTACAAATTATTGATCTCGATAAGGGTTTTGTTAAAGAGACTCTGAATTGGGAGAATGTTACTAGATCCGGTTCAACAGTTCAGGCAATCGGGTCATCACCCGAATACTTGTTCACTAGCTTCGAGTCGAGCAGAAGGAATTCGAATTGCATTATGGTTTATGATCTCAACGATAGCTTAAGGCCTGTGACTGAGATTGGCCATTATGAAATTTTCGGTGCAGAGCTCGATTCTGCAATTCCTTCAACTAAATTACAGTGGATATCTAGTCATAATTTGTTGATGGCCTCGGGTTCTCATAGTGGACCTTCAGGAGTATCAGGGAATATAAGGTTCTGGGACATAAGATCAGGGAATGTAGTTTGGGAACTAAAGGAAAAATCCGATTGCTTCTCTGATCTCACGGTTTCAGATTCTTTATCAGCTATGTTCAAGGTTGGCGTGAATTCTGGAGAAGTGTTTTTTATGGATTTAAGGAATATGGATGCTGACAATACTTGGGTTTGTCTTGGGGATGGAAGAAAAGTGATCAAGGGGAAGAAAGAAGGTTTGGGATGTAAAATCGAAAGCCATGGAAACCAAGTGTTTTGTAGTAAAGGAGGAGACATAGAGCTGTGGTCCGAGGTTCAGGCCGGTACATTGAAAACTCGGGAAGGTGGTTTACAGGACAGAGTTTTCCGAAGGAACTTGATGGGGAGAGCGAAGGATATGGGAGGAAGCCGGATAACCAACTTGAATTTCGGAGGGAATAAAATGTTCGTGACAAAGAAGGACCAGCAATGTGTTGAAGTTTGGAGTTCAGGGAGAGTGTAGAAATTGATGAACAATGCTACTGCGTAAAGAACTTTAGCATGTTTAGACCGGTAAACTAAAGTCGGGTTGATAGAATTCAGTGCCAAGGAAATGACGTCCACTTGACAGAACGAAGTGGCGAAAAATCATTCTTGAAGTCGACCCAAAATTTGTTGACAACGAGGCTTAGTTTGCTGTTGTTGATGTGTGTTGGGCTAATTTGATAATTGTTTAGAATTATTCTTTTGTAAAGGCTTTTGTACTTCAGAAAACAAATTCTTTATACAAATATGTTTATACAATTCCGACAGAAGATCGCTGACTCTTTTTCCCCTTTGCAAGTGAATGGATTATTTTAAGAATCATAACCACTAACAAAGAGCTATGAGAAAATGTAATAATTAAAATGGAATTGAGAAAATGTAACAATTAAAATGGCATTGAAGAACCAGAAGAGTTGTAATTATTGAATAGCGCTAAAAATTATGCAACTCAAGTGAGCTAAATATGGATCTGACCAGTTCAAATAGCTACATTAGACTATATTGCATTCTTGAGCTGCTAGCGAGCATCCCTCTTTGCTTTCTTTGAAGCGTGCATTGGTCACATAAATGACTTCCTCAAGGAAAGTTGTTTTCAAAGTGAGTATCTCTTTGCTCTCCTCGCGGCTCGGAATGCTGGGAAGATTGATGACAGGAGAGCAATGTAGAGAAAGGATTTTGGGATTAGAAGAAAGTCTCCATAGGTCCGCTGCTCCTCTCTCTGTTCAATTTTAAATGTACCGTGCCAAGGGTCAACCCACTCCATACGTGACGGATGTGAGTTTAGATAGGACTCTGGCGTCACCATCTTGCAAACCTGGTCGATGTCGGTTGTAACGGTTGAAAATAGGGGTCCAACTAATATAAAGTTATTTTGATACATTTTTTCGAAAATTTCTGGATCTTATTACTTCATTGGAGTGAGAGAAAAGCAACTCGGCCTTCTGACAACTAACATACTCGATAGTCAATATACACAATTCCTTGTCCAGAAAGGAGGAATTTTCGGAATTGAATACTTCTCCTAACATAGTAGTTTTCGTAGCTGGATTAAGATGATTTTGCTACTTGTCTCAAAACGAAAACAAAATAGGAAGGTGACTAATTTCACTAAGTAAAGCCAGGAAGCAACTGAATCTATCTAAATCGAGAAAATCGAATATGCAATATGTTAAGCGGAACTCAGATCTATTGATTACGAATCCCATTACAGAAGCGTATACAAAATTACACATGCCTTTGTAATTTAGGAGGTAGTGTTATAGTACAATCGACATATATTACCAAGGGTCATGACCGAGGGACAAAGGAATTGATCTAGAAAGATGTCTTATTCTCATTATATGATCGTGATTTGAAGAAGAAAATAATATATATATATATATTTTTTTCCATTGAATTGCAAGTCTACAAACAGACAAATTGTTCAATACACAACAGAAGTGTAATGAAATATTTTCAATTCTTTTCGCTGGCAAGGAAGGCAGGCATCGAGGAATTACAGATAGCGAGAGAGGGTGGTGGTGAAGAATAACAATATACTAGTGAAGGAGGTGACAATGGAAAAAATTATCTGAATTGGATGGTGTATAGTTTAATTGGCTCAATGGACTCGACAGCGATTCTACCCTTTTTTGCCTCAGACCTATACTGTGATGTGCCCGGTTGACGGAAACTCTTTTTTGTTTATTTTATTTTTAAAAAAATTACCAGATAGACAGTTGGACCTAATGACCTGCTCGACTCGTAATGGCCCATAATGGGCCTCATTTTCATAGGCCCTCTCATATTCATACTAGACCTATAAGGCAAATCACTTTGGGCTTTTCAAAGGCTGCATAGGGAGGGATAGCATAGTCTTTTGGTTAGTTATACCTAAGTATCGACCAGAAACAAAAGGATGTCACCACAATTTTTATTTGATACACTACATTTTAATTGTAGTTAAGTTTTTCAATCTTCGCTCATTATAACAATTATTTCCTAACTTTTTTTAGTTCAATTATTATCTTCAACTTTCCATTAGTTAGTGCTTCTTGTTCTTAACGGTGATTTATATAAAAATATTGTTATAAAATGAGGAAAAAATATTTTTTTCACTTTTTATTTGTATATTTCTTAAAATTATGATACAAAAACAACAGACCTTTGGACATAAAACTATGATCAAATACAAAATGTGTTAATTAATGTAAAGTTTAAGTATAAGAATGATATGAAAAATCGTTAGAAATATAAGTGTGATAATGAGTAAAGATTAAAAACCATAAGTACAATTAAAATGTGGTGCAAAAAATAAAAATTATGGCATGAATACAATTACCCGAAACAAAATTCTATAACTGCAATATATCGTTGAACAAAATATTGATTTTACCTATTGTTATTTTTATTTTATTAAGAACGAAATGCCTTCATTAATTCAAATCAAATGAAAACAAGGAATATGATCTGTCCAACTACAACTAAACCAATCAAATGAATAGAAAACCACCACATTATGATTTACGTTATTTCTCTCGTAGAGAACAAAGCAACGAAATCCACCATTTACATCGCCACCTTCCAATATAAACTTTCTAAACCTCGTCACTACCTTCCACTTTTGTAGAGAAATCAACGGAGCCTCTTAAAAAGGGGAAGAATGATTGAGAGGTATTTTTGGATCAATCATACCACAAGTACATAATTTTTTTTACAAAAAGTCATTACAGACAACACATGACGCGACATCATTGGAAGATAGAGAAAAAAAACAGTCCAATTACATTTTGTCACATCAGCATTAGTACACATTCAGTTTGATTTTTCATGTACTTGGAGCTTTATTCTTTCTGGGTAGAGGGTGTATAAAGAATCTTTTTGAATTTTAAAATGAGTAGTGAATGAACTTGTCGAGAAAAAAATAATCTCATTTTGCAGCGCCCTCATTTTCTAAAATTCTTTTCTACTCAAATTTATTTTTAATAATAGATTCTCTCAATAAAATAATTTACACGTGAATTTATAATTTTTTTCCTACTTTCTAACCATGCATTTTTCAAAAATTAATTTTCACAAAATATATTCTCAAAAAATATCATCAAAACAGGGTAAATAGCGTCTGGTGTTTTAATTCACTTTTCAAAATGTGCCCCGAGTGCAATAGCAGCTCCCTTTTGCATAGATCGTGTTTGACTAATCTTAAAAACTTTACGCCCCTATTTGACACACATGTTTCAAAATACATTATTCACAACTTATTTTCAACCACACATTTTTCAATAAAATATTATTTTTCATCACATCAATAATTTTTCTTTACTTTTTAACCGCATATTTCTTATCATATTACTAATTAAAATACATTTTTTCCTCAATAACATCCATCAAACACGCATGTAAATGTACTTGTAAATAAGTAATTTTTTTTATTGATTAAGCTATGTTTGAGAATGATTTTGAGATTATAAGCTGGTGGGTACCATGAAATATATAATTAAAAAGTAAATAAAAATTGTAAGTCCTTTGAAATATATAGTTGAAGTTGAAGTTTGAACAATTTATAGTCTCAAATTTTTTTATTAAGGAGGTAGTTTTTAAAACAAATATTTTTTAATTAGTAAATAAACTAGTAACTATAGTATAAGAAAACACTTCTCTTTTATATGAAACCATGGCAAAGATCACCCTTTTGATTTGATTTGAGAGATTAACAATAGAGTGATTGTTGCTTGAAGTCGACAGGTTCTTCACATAAGAGCAAGCTCATTCCTATATTGATTGGCCTCAAACTTAGAACCGACTTTGCAGTGATCACATTTAAGGTATCTCTTATTAACCTTGTCAAAATTTCGAGCTTCGACTTTAATAGTGAGGAAAGAATTATTTCTTTTGAGAAAAGAAAAAAAAATCATTTAAATATGTTGACACAAACACTACAAAAAACATGGCTTCAAGCACGGATTTTCCGTTACTGAAACCAAAATATTCCGTTACTATTACTCTTTACCAACAAAATATTAACAACCACAAATCCACTGTTAATTTGAGGGTCGCTAATATCTACCAACGAATCGCATCATAGGTAAAAAGTAAACATTTACCAACGAAATTTCCGTTGGTAAAACGTGAATTTTTTATCAACGGAAAATTCCGTTGGTAAAAAATAACCATTACCAACCGATTTTTCGTTGGCAAATGTCTACCATTGCAATTGGTAAAAATCATAGTTGTAAATAGAGGCATATGTGAAAGGAGTGCCAAACAAATTATTTATTTATTATTTATTATTGTTTAATAATTGTATTTTTTTTTAACTTTTAACCAACTGAATTGAAATGTCCAAAAAGTTGTTTAATCACTTATTAGACCACTAATTTATAGATGCTATCTCCAAAGATTTTGTTTTGAACTTTCGATGTGGGATAAAAACTTCTTTGGTTTGGAATTATTAAAATTTATTAATATCATCAACAAATTTTCCGTAGGTAATATGCATTAATCTTCACCTATGGAATTTTCGTTGATGAAGAGATTTTTTTTGTTTTTGAAAAAAGTTAATTACCCTGCACCTACGGATATTTAGTAGGAGAATATCTAAATTTTTTAATTATTAAAACTGATCAATATTAGCAATTGACAATTTCTTTGGTAATATGCACTACTCTTCACCCATGGAAAATCTATAGGTGAAAGATTGACACATGTTTTAGAAAAAAAGTTGAATCACATTACCTACGGAAATGTTGTTGGTAAATTGTAAGCATATTAAACAACAAGATTAGGCCCCTGTTTGGCCCCCATTATATTACATTCCATTACATTAATTTTTTTCTCTTTTCATCTCAACCATCATATTTCTTATCATATTACTATTTAAAATACATTTTTTCCTCAGTAACATTCATCAAACACGCATGTAAATGTACTTGTAAATAAGTAATTTTTTTTATTGATTAAGCTATGTTTGACAATGATTTTGAGATTATAAGCTGGTGG